GTGGGGTCGGTTCGGTGGGGGGGGGCGGCGGTGGGGGGGGTGCTGAGGCCTTCAAAATCTTGTTGCTCTATTTCTTTGAGTGGTAGTTTCCATTTCAGTGAAGATTTGAGTATTTTTAGTAGGAATCTAATAAGAGCCTTGTTATGTATTAAGAGCATAAATTTACATACAGTATAAAACACACCATCTGAAATTTCTTATATTCTTTAGGAGGGATTCTTATAAGATTTGGATATTTTTAAGATTATAGTATTTCATCTCTGTTTAGGTAATGTTAAATTGGCTTAGGCTCATCTCTCTCCCATCTACCTCCTTATTTTTTATCCTGGTAGCTAACTTTCTGTATCAATAATTGCTATATCTTGTTTTTGAAAATAGTATAGACATGTTTGAGTGATACTGAGTAGCCTCAAGTATCTTTTAAGATTATGTGTTATACTTAATTTGATGATAGATCTAAAAGGTGTATAATAAATAAGATGTCACATAAGAATGTGATTCTTAACACTGATTTTTCCAAAGAGATATTTGACTCAATTGGTTTTTAAGAGGAGTTTTTGTTTTATATCTTGTTATAAACGTGTGTCTCAGATTTCTAAGTCACACTGAAATTTTTATTTCAAAGATTTCTAAACAGAAAATTGAAGATAACAGTATTTTTAATCTACATGAAACTTTTCGTTGAAATTTCAATGGCCATGAATTTTTTATCTTTAAAATCTTCACTGCTTCTGCAACTATTAAACTTCCACAAATACACTCTTTTTTTCCTCAGAAGTACTTTCAATACGGTCTCAAGTGTACGTTAGGCAAATAGATCAAATCAAAATGACTTAGAGAATGAGATTTTCTTTTCTTCAGCTTGTGATCTTATTAAAATTACTGTTTTACCAAAATTGCTTTCCATTACCTAAAGAATTCTTAAAGGTTGAATTTATAAAATCAATAATTACTATAAATTAATATTTCACATGCTAATTAAGAGCATTTTAAGTAAGTGACAGCATCTAGAAAGATCTTTGTATTAGTGGAATTGCCTTTTTAATCTACTCTGGGAATATTTGTCTTACATGAAAGCTTTATTGGCAGTATTTATGAAAATTGTTTCAGTACTAGGTTAAATACCCAATTTGGGGAAGAGAACTATGAATCCATTGCCAGAATAAGAAATTAATCTACTAATGATTTTTTAAAAAAACAAACTTATATTAAATCCAATGCATGATACTTTATGGTACATGTCATCTAATAGTTTATGTGCTGGGTGGTAATTTGGGAAATTGAGGGGGAGGAGCTAACTGGGTACTCTTAACACCATATATTCAGAAGTCACACCTGGCAACCTCAGCTATCTGGATTTTTATCAGAACCAAGAAGCAGGTAAAAACGATCATTGAACTGGCAGCCAAAGTTGATGTCATAAAGTCTATGAACTTGTTCCCAGTTATTGCCCCAGAAGCTAGTCTGGCACACTTCTTAAATGCAAGCACAATCAGAATTGCCTTATGTCTCGTTCGTTCTTATTTTCGATAGAATTCTAATAAACTTTATCTGATTTGCCCATCCCTGATAGATTACAAGCTAGAAGAATCAGGGCATTAAGAGGCACAGAGATGGAAAATAGTGAGAAGTGATGATTCAACATTCTAGCCTTCTTCCCACTCTGCAAATGGATCTACATCTGCACCTTTCATTCCTTCCTCTTCTCCAGTCTCAGTAGGTTTTCTTTTCCTGGTCAGTGCTTCTGGAATCCCATTTATCCTACCTCCTAGGAGGCCATGTACCATTCAATATCTTCAACCTGTCAAATGCTAAGGGCTCGTTCCCTCATCCACCTGAAGATAATCCTTTCTTGATCCTCTGTCCCACTTCTAACTACCTTCCTATTGTCCTCTCTTCTAAACTTCTCGAAAAGGAGAGGAGTATTGTATGTTCCCCATCCCAAGCTCTTTATCTTCTACTGATCACTTCCATTAATTACTAAACCTGCAGTTTAAGTTTGACTTATAGCCGCCACCCTTCATATTGCTAGATCCAATTGGCATTTCTTGGACTTCTCTAATATTTTCACTTCTCCCATTCTACTTGAGCCTGTCCTTTGGCTTCTGTGGCACCATTTTCTACCTGTCATGCCTACTTCTTTTTCCTGCTCCTTTATCCCTCAAATATTGGTGTTCCCAAGGATTTTGTCTCTGGTCCTTTTTTTTTTATTACTCTCCCTCACTGAGAAATACCTTTGTCCATTGTTCGAACTACTACTTAGGTTCATCAACCACTTGATTGGGATGCAGGTATCTTAACCTCAGCAGATCTAAAACTGAATGTCCCCCTCTTCCACATATCCCTCTCTACCCTCCCCCACTCCACACGCAAATTAACCCCCCACACACACACAAAAATAACTACAAAACTGAAATACATATATTCTTCTATATTCCCTATCATGATGAATAGCATCAGCATCTACATAATCACTCAAGCGTGGAATTGGAAAACACTGAATTATCTCCTGCCACACCCTGACATGCATTTGGTCAATTCTGCCTTCTAATTAGATCTCTAGTCTGTCCCTTATGCATCTGCACTTCGTGAATCCAGTTTAGGATCATATTTTGGATATCTGGACTCTAGCAATAGAGACACCTCCTACCTAAGTATCACCAGTCTTCCATCTGCCATAACTTCTGAAACAAATATCCTGCTTAAAATCCTGCTGCACTTTTGGCCATCAGTATAAGGCCAAATTACCTAGAGCATACAATGCCTTTGTGAGCTGGTTCTAATACCTTTATCTGCTGCTTTTCTAGCCAGGAGTACCTCCTGATCCATTGTTCTAGCTATGCCAACCTACTTGCATTTCCCCTGAAGTGTCGTATTTTCTTACCCTCCTTATTTTTGTCTGTGCTGTTCCCTATACCTGGAATGCTCTTTCCCCATTACCTGCATGATTAATTCCTACTCATCCTTAACAACTCAGCTCCAGTGTCAGTTTTTTCAAAATATGTTTTGTGTAACAAGGTTGAGTTGAGTATGCCTCTGAAATACTTCTATGACACTGTGTGTTGTCTGCCCCTATTATAGCCTATTTCGAAATGATAACCACCAATTTTCTCGCCTGACTCTCACACTAGACTGAACATCTTGAGGCAAACAATTGTGCTGTCAGGGCTAGTTTATATCTTTTCCCACTACTAAATGACCCGATTGCTATACAGTAAGTTCTTAGGTCTGCATTTTATAGTTGTTCATTTGGTTCATTTCATTAATACTTCACAATCTGCAGTGTTCCTGGAACTATGCTTCAACATCATAAAAGTTTGCCTCTGAAAGCTTACCACCTGATCATCAAGGAAAGGCTAATTATATTCATCCATTATCTTCTGTTTAAGAAACCTGGGAAGTATGTGATCATTTTATATATCCTTCATCCAGAATGACTGCATTTTAGGGAGTACTTAAAAGTGTGTGATTTGGTTATTTGGAAAATTACTTTTGTGGAACATCTCATTTGCTGGTAATGACTGCCAATGGCTTGTTACCTTGGTGTACAAAACAAATGTGTGTTGGGAAGTACTGTCATTTTAACTTAAACTTTACAGACTTGAAATTTTGTCACTGTTTCTGTACTCAATTGCCCTTTCTCCACATCTAGCTCAAGATTGCAGGGCTGCTGACAACTTCCTTGTACCCATAGCGGTGGGAACAGCCTTGGCAGGAGTACTTATTCTAGTGATGCTGGCTTACTTTATTGGTCTCAAGTGCCATCACACTGGATATGAGCGATTTTAGAACCTGCAATCTGATTGATTATATAAAAATACAAGCAAATAACAAGATTTTCTTGCCTCTTAGTTTTGAAACACTTTGCTCCTTAAGATTGAGATGTTGAAATTAATTCTTAAATCAGCCCCAACATTTCGAGTTAAATCTTTATTAGTAAAAACTCTTCTCTTTGATCAGCTTAAAATAAAAAAAAAAAAATGTTATATTTACTGGTCCTGAAGACAAATTTGTTAAAAAGAACATCAGTGTACAATGTTCTTACGTCTATCTTAAGAAGCCTGGGCCAAATTTTGATCCTAACCCAAGATACCTTAAAATTATTAACATAGTCA